GTGAATCGCTTCTGCGACGAAAAATCTGCGAAAATAGCCACTGGGGGTGAGGGACTGCATTTCAAAAACATATTTTATATATAGGGTATATAATAATAATAAGATTCCCACTAAGGTCGATCATATCAACATTTTCAACGTCAACAGAAAGTATACGCCGTCATCTCGTTCTTGACGTATTTATAAACAAAATGTCATTTCGTTGCTTAAAACTAGCTTTTCCAATGTTCCAGTGATATAGGTTTATTTTTCGGCCACAAGAATAGTATTTATGATCGCTAGATTGGTCGATGGATGTTTGAAAACTAAAAAAAAAGTTCTCCGTCATAAACTTGTAGCTGGGTGTTGAATCCCCGGTCTATGTGACTTTTCATGACTGTGGGGCCGAATGATCAGCGGGAGGAGGCCAGCCTACAGGACTTTACTCGGGGCTAGTTTCAGTGTAAACTAGCGTGCACCTATTAAGTTTATAGAGGGACTGTGACCTATACCAGGGTTCACCGCCACGACTCACTGAAAGGTCGCCCATATTTACAATAGCACACGAAAGAGAAATACAATGTACATAGGTGTGCAAGTAATAATAACAAGGTATGAGAGTTTCAATTCAAGCTACTAATCACCGAGGGGCGATGTACAGATATACTTTGTTCCTGGGGCAGAGGCACTGATTCCGCGGTCGCGGTCACGAGTAAAATTGTGCCGGTCGTCCGACTTGTCGAACAAAAACCATCGTCGAAGTACGTGACCCGTTATCAGGACCTGAATACACGCCACATTATACGAAAATTATACTAAAATTACACGATAATTCGTCATATAAATACCTTTTAGTTATAAACTAGTAACTTGATGGTAGCAGTACTTTGATAACTTCAATAAACCATAACATACAGAAATGCGTCTCAAACAGCTCGTTCCCAGTGTTTTCCACTTTCCGCCATACTGGTGACCTTTCAACTGAGAGATGGACCTTTATAAAATATGCAGGGGTGATCGGTTGAATCAGATGGTGAACACTTTCGCTCGCAAGTGGGTAAAGTAATATCGTCAAAAGCATTCTAGTGAGTACCTTGTTATTATATTATCACTGTTTCGAGTAATATTTCACTTCAAGTCAGGTCAGTGTCACTACTTTACAACATTTAACTTATCCGCACAGATGATTATAGAATAGTCCAAGAAGATTGTTGTTCGCATTTTACATGTACTTGCATTTTTATAGTCGAGTCGGGGACTTACGTATCAGTACAAGTCGTGTTATTGGTTATTGTACATAGTTGAT